GATATATATATATATATATATATATATATATATTTTTTTTTTTTTTTCAAAAAACAAAGGATCAGTCTCAAAGGTTAAAGTGACGGATAATAGCTCTCCAGGAGAATGCTTTTCACTAGACACTGAGTCATAGACCTCTCACTCTCTCACTTAGGAGTACCCATCTACACACTCAATTCACATGCGGACTTATTACACTTTCTCTAGGCAAAACTCTTAGGATTTTCTTTTTTTGAGACATAGAGATTAGTGAAGTAAGTTTTGTTCATCTTAATAAAGCACTGGTGTCAAATATAAGGTTTCTTGACATATTTTTTATGTCGGGTGTTATTTATATGACACAAAAAATAGTAGGTTAACATATTTATGAATATGTCAAAATATTTTATGTATTTTGTGTATGGTGTTAATATTATTGGTCTAATGAGAGAGAAAGAGCGTGACGATGAAACACGATGAAAGAAAAAAGATCGACAACAAAACATGAAGAAATGCGACAAGAGAGAAAGAGCAGGACGATGAAACGCGAGAAAAATGTGGGAACAAGAAGGAAATAGTGGTGTGATGGAAAAATATGAAGAGACAAAAGTACAACAGAAAAGCATTCGTAAACCTAAGAATAAGACTTTTGTGCCAATTATTTTTATAATTAACATAAAAAGTCAAGACCTTCTATATCGGTTATTTTATGATCGATATGTCGTTGGAATCTATGATAGGTTTAAAATCGACATAAAAAGTTGTTTTTACCCATCATAAAAAGTATTGCACACATTAGTGAAATTTTATCCATTATAGTAAAGAAAATTAAACTCTTTAGAGTTTAATTAGTAGCGAACCTATACATTATAGTGAGGGTGGACAAATACACCCTCTCACTTCAATTAAGTTATTAGTGTATGTTTAAAAATATTATATTTTGCACTCCCTAATTTTATATATTGAACTCACTGATAATTGTTTTTGACATTTATGTTTAAATTGTTCTTTATATATATATATATATATATGATGATTATTACTTTTTTTTATATATTTTTTTAAAAAAATTGCCCACATTAACCTAAGGTCTTGGATTTGCCACTGAGTTTAATGTTGGCTTGTTATTCCTTTTTCTCTATTATTAATTTTTTTTAATGAACATAATCTACGTAATATCCTAAAATTGATAATCAAAGACTAATTTGTATTTGTTGACACAACTTCCACTAAACAACATTATTTTAATACTGATGAAAATCAAAAGTAACTTCTCATACCCTAGAGTAGACTTTTCAACTACTAGATTAATAGGATTAGTTTTTCTGTATCATTAATTAGTAACTTACCAACTTCACTTTTAACTGAGGATTGTGGTGCCCTATCCGATTCCCAAATAGCAATGCACTCTCTAGTGGAAATATAAAGGAGCAATTTTGTCCATTAACTTGAAAGCCAATGTTAGAAATTTGTAGAAGAAAGAGAAAACAACATACAAAGTACCAAGAAACTTGCCACCATCATTTTTGCTATTAATTTGCTCTCTTCATCTCTCAATTATATTATTCCATTTCTTCTTCTTTCCTTTTTCATTTTGACTTCATTTCCCTTATTTTTATCTTACAAAAATTTCCCTTGCACCTATTAATAATAAGAGGATAACATATGCTTTGCTTTTCATTCTTTCATTCTTTACACCAAACCCTACATTCTTACTAACTATAATCATGATGGGTATGTGTATGCTGGGTTTTGAATGCAAAATTAGAAATTTGGTACAAGCGTTAGAGGAAAGCAATAATAAAGTTAAATCTTAATTTTTCTACATGGTTGCTAGAAAATCTTGACACTTACAATTTAGAGAGTTTATCCAACTTCCTTCTTTCCTTTTATTGGTACGTAGATATTAAACAGAAAAAAATTAACATTATTTTTTCAAAAACCTAACTAACATTCGTTGTTATTCTTTCCCGAGTAAAATACGAAGCACTAATATGTTTGGAAATATTGTTAGCCAAAAAATGCTTGATTTGATTAAGATCGTAGGAGATTCACAACTTATATATAGTTAAACAACTAATTCGAAAGTAACGATGTTGCAACTCAAACCTAAACCTGAACCATTATCTAGACAGATATTTGATTATGCATATGTTACGGTGAGTCGATCTATTTTGTATAATGACATTCACTTAAATATAGGTATACATATATGTTGATTTACTCACACAAGTTTTGGTAGCTTATTTATTTTATTCATAACTCATGTTATATATCAAATTTTAATGATATAATTATTAAACTAAAATGTTTAAAAATAAAAGTCAAGTCTACAAATTTTAAAAATTATTTAATACTTTATTTTCTTAATTTAAATTGATAGATAATTATAAAAATATATTATAAGTTAATTTGAATCAATATATATCATAATTTCAAAATTTTCAAAATTTGTAGAAGATCTATGAATAAAGAACTTCTAATTTAGACTTCTTCTTGAGATAAATGGATTTTCTCTCTATCTTTCTCTCTCTCTCTCTCTCTCTCTATATATATATATATAGAGAGAGAGAGAGAGAGAGAGATAGAAAGAGATAGAAAGAGATTCACTTACTCTACTCAATAACCTATATATATTTTACATCAAATTTCAGTTATTTAATCGTTAAATTAAAAAATCTTAATGCATAGATCAATAGTTTGGAATGTTTTAAAAAAATTAAAAACTATTTTCTACCCAATTTCATTAATTCAAATCAACGTATAAAATATTTTTATGATTATTCGTCAATTTAAATTAATGA